AACCTTATTGTATCCTATCTGCGCCATTAATCGTCATCAATCGGGATCACCTGATTCTAAAAAAACAAAAAAATAGGGGACCAATCAGGTCAAATCTGGCAACCCAGATTTGACCCGATTGGTCCCCTATTTGTCATCGTTCGACTAGTGAATAATTTGGTAGCTAACGCTTTTGATGATATTGCAGGGTTCTTTTTTACTTCTCAGACAAACATTTTAGAGCTTTTGGAAGAGATTTTTGAAGGGCGACCACTATGCTTTCGGTGAGTTATGCTTCCATTTTTTTTAGTTTGATAAGATTATAGTATATAGTAGACCTTGAGATACCTGTTCGATTTCTAATTTCCTTTGCCTTTTGTATTCCTCTATCCCATAATTGCTGGATTGCTTTTGCATGTACGTCTTGACGAACATTCATATTTCGTTTAATTCTAAAAAAAAAATGCGGTAACAAATTCAATGTGCTACAAAGAAAAAAAGATTGGTTTGATAATCAATAAATACTATTTTGGTTAACGGAATTCTAACTTAAAACGTAAAATTTATGCAAATCTAATTTAGTCACGGGAAATTGTCTATAGACTTTCTTAATGCACTGTATATCATTACAAATTGTCTCACTAGCTCTGGCCAAATTAATAGTGCCAGTTAAAATTTAACCGGTTCCAATTTCTATTTTGCAGGCGTATCATTGATTATTTCAATCGAGAAAAGGAAATTTCTTAGAATTTAAAGATTATAAGATTATAACAATATCGCTGGAATTAAATATTAAAAAGACATACGATTGTAAATGATTACAGAGACTAATTGAAATAATCGAACTCCGTAGTCGTACAAGGAATATTTCTTTTTAGAACAAATACTGGTCATCCATTTTTTTTTTTGTTTAAAAAAAGATGTCTTCCGATACGACAAAGGATTGTTTTTTTTTTCGTTAATTTTAGTGAACATATTCAAAATTAAAGTTTTACACTACCCCCCTGCTAATAAAATTCCAGTAAGCATTAAATGCTAGTTTCAAATTCCTTTTATTATTATTAATAATGTTATATTATTGAATTACATATTATAGAATTATCCACCAATCTTATTCATTCATGGAGCTTTTCTTGCGGCATGGTCTTGGCATGATTTTTTTCACTGGTTTTCAAATAAAGGATTTGATTGTTACGCAATGAAGTAAATGATACATTAATCAAAAGCTCGTTTAGTTTTGAATTAAAATTAGTTTATTTAATTTACTTTCACCACGACACTAGAAATTCATTTGGAGGAGCTTTGCTTCAACATTATCTTGAAAATAATCATCAAAAAGTATCGGGAGGGGTGATGGTTGCATCACCATCGCTTTTTGTATATAAAACAAGTTCTTTAAAATCATCTCTGACATCTTTTCAAATCACATAGTTTTAAAGCAATCATAACAACGAACGATTGAAACTTCAGAATTAATGAAAAAGCTCTTTTTTTCTTCAGCGTATCCTGATTCAATGGCTAGAGAAATTCACCTAAAATTCGAAAAATTTGTTTCTCTCCGGAATATTGGAGATTCAAAAAATCCTTTTGTTGACCCTTCTAAAATCAAATGTCCTATGATTGTAATTTTCGCCGAAAGAAAATGCATTTTTCGATGATTTAAAAGATTTATCAGAAACTGCTGAAGCTTATGGCGTAGGATATGATATTGTTGAAGCTGCTGGTCATGAAATTATGCTTGATATTACATGGGAAGATGCTGCTAAAGTTGTTTTTGATAGAATTCAAGAAAGGATTATCAACAAATGGAAGCTTTTTATCAAGATTATATAAAAAAATTAAAATTAAAATCATATATTTTCATAATCTTCTACGTTATTATGAAGATTTATTTAATATCATTATTTGTCATAATTGCTTAACATTTTTTTTTGAAAATCACGCTCCGTGTTGGAGTGATAATACATTATGTATAAAGCGTCATGATCGAAAGCTATGCACGGTACGGTCTTAGGATCATTACTACGCCATTCGTAATATTCATCTAATTAATTACAAATGTAAAAATGTTGTCGTCATATTAAACAATCAACTTAACAAAATCATAAGAATATTTTTTTTGCAAGAGGAAAAGTCTAAGTTGCTTTGCTATTACAAAAAATTATAAAATATTACCAAGTTCAAATTTCCTTTTTTCGACATGTAAATTAGTAATATTAGAATTTTATTCATGCTTTATAAAGGTTTCATAGAATCTTTAAACCATGTGTTAGAAACTCCTTTAAAATCTTTTTATGCTTAAAATCATTAATTCTTTGAATAATACTTTCAGATATGGGATGCATTTTTCTTTTGCTTTAATAATGGCATTTTTGAATTAAAAGCTGAGGGAAAGTCACTTGGATTGCTTAATTGACACGAGGTTATAATGCAGTTTTTCCTTAAAAGATACTAGGGAATGAGACAGTATTATGCTCAATTTCAAATGTAACACGTTCATGAATATTAAGGTGATTCGTCTCATTGAGACTTTTTTTATTTAGTTAGTTTTACTTTTGTATTCTTTTTATAAATAATAAAGTTACATGAAGTGGCACATCGTTAAAAAAAACAAAGAAATAAATAAAATAATAATGTGGATTACCAGTTAATGTCGCAGCGATGATCATTAAAAAAAACTACCCCCAGTCACCGATAAAATTTTCGAGATCACGTGATAATAGGCCTGCAATACTAACCTAAATCTGGTGACAAATATTATTTCACGCCTATGTCCTCAAATAAAAAATAAAAATGAGGGCGTGATAAATTATTACATGTCACATGATCGCGAAATTTTTGTCGGTAGTTCATTAAAAAAGGATGGAGAAAAAGTTAAAAGAATAAAAAGAGGATTTTCCAATTTATATTTAGTCAGAAAACCAAGAATTTTTTTTATAATGACAACTTGTTTGATAAACCATTGAAATAAAACATGAGTTCGGTGTGAACGTCAAAAAAAATTACTTTTTTTTCTTTTTTTTTATGATAATACTGACATTAAAAAATTCAGCTGATGGAGTAAATTGAAAATTGCTTTGTATAATTAAACACCATTTCCATATGGGGCCTTTGCAATAGAAAGGGGGGAAACTGCCGGAAAATTAAAAAATGAGTTAATGCTAAATTTGAACATATTTCAGCCTAAAAATCATATTTGACATATAAAGTAAAATTGATTTTTTCCGGCAGTTTCCCCCCTTTCTATTGCAAAGACCCCATATGATCAGGTCAAAAAAAAAATTTAATTACATTTTATTAAAAAAAAAATCGTTTAATATTACTAAAAATAAAATTAAGTTTCAAATGAGAGTCACGACTCTGTTTGGGTCTAACGAATGACTGAGTCGACTCCGCCACTATTTAAAGGTTACTGAGTCAAAACAATCAAAAATATTGAAAAAAAGAATTCGGAATTTGTTTGGGATACGTACCTGAAATCATTTTCGTATTATTTATTTTTTATTTGTTTGTTTTGTTTGTAAGGTATATTATAGAACAATGTTCTGCTTCCCTCAAAACATAACATATGATGTTACGATGATGTAATACCAAAAATCATAAATCAAAAATTTCTTTGAAATAAAGATTTTATAGCTGCCAATCACATGATGAGCGGTATCTGAATAATTTTCGTCTGAATTTCAATGGGATGAAACAAATTTACGTACGTGACCCTGAACATGAACTTCAAATCCTTTTTTGGTACATCCATTGAAATCGGAGTACCCATTTTCCGAGACAATCCCGATCTGAAAACAGATTGTTGTACCAAAAAAAACATAACTCCGAAACTAAATCATAAATTGAATTTTCATTTAAAGTTGTACTTCAATGGGTGCAGTAAAATCAGGAATGACTCTTGAAAAGGTTTCAACATCTGCAAGTAATACTTAGTTATGAAGCATCAAGGTTATCATTTAATTGAGGTATTTATATAATCTTCTGAAACATTTATCGTCGATACTCTGTTTATTTGGAAAGGTAGAATCCTCTCAAGGAAACAAAGAAACGTTGGAGTACACGTGTGTGCGTAATTATTTCGAACAGTCTTGCTGCTCGACTGAAAAAAAATTTCTAATTTCATCTCACATCGATAATTTTTATAACGGGGAAGGTGGAATCACGCGAAGAATTCGAAGAATTCGAAAAATTAATTTAAAAATAACCTTGCACTTATTTGGTAAGGATGACCTCACATTGTAAAGTTAGCCAAAAACCTTAAAAAACATCTTTGGAAAGATCATTTAAAGTATATTGAAATCAAATTGAAAAAGGTAAGATAATCTTGTAGATTTTACAGTTTTTAATTAAACCCAAGGGGAATAATGAAATGATGAAATGAAATGAAAACATTAGCTCATTGGAGACAGGATGAAGAAATAAAATGATTACATCTCGAGTAAGATTGATAAACGGGACTTCCGCATGATTTGGAATTGGAGAGATTTAATTATATGCAAGAATATGCATGATTTCACCGCGCTTTATTATTTTTTATTGCCTTTTATATGTATATCGGTCTTACGATTACGACGTTATGTTTATGATTTTAACTCACGTGATAACGTACAACTCACGGGGTCGCACGGTAATATATTTTTTACAAATAAATATTTTTTTAAGAACTACCAAAAAAAAAAAAATAAGGGATTTAAATTAACATAGTCGGCTTGACCAAATTACCAAGTTCAGCTCGGCTAAGGTAATCCAATTTTTCAATTTCCGATTCTAATTCCCTTTTTCTGTTTAACTTTTTTTTTAAAAAGGTAAATGGCTCTCATTAATAAGCCACATATCGTTAGGCATTTAATATGAGGGAAAATTTCGGCCGAACAAATCCGAAGGGGAGAGGAGTATTATGTAAAAAGTAAAATTGGCCCTCATAACTTGTTTGATTCGCCATACCATGCATATACTGAAAATCGTTAGTCGAAAAAATAAGAGTTAATTTTTATTTAGGAAATTACAATACCTTTTTATTCATTATATTAATAACATTGGATATAAAAGGAAAAGAGAATTTAAAAAAAAAAATTTTTTTCTTTCATTAGTATCTTTTCGAATAATAAATAAATCAACATAATAAACTCGTTTTTCTCAACCCTTCAGAAGAATTCATTCCCATTCCTTCCTTCTCATCGAACCACCCTCCTCTTATCTTTGTTGAAATAAATATAGACAATAAGATTGTTTGAAGAATTTCTTCTAAAGGTGAACGAATCAAGTTTGGTAGTGAAGAAAAAAAGATGGAAAAAAAAAAGAAATTCGAATTCGCCAATGTTTTCCATTTACTTAGAAAAGGCAAATGATGATGAAACATTCCTGGGCAAATTCTTATTTTCTCATTTAGTGAGACGGCGATTGGTCTCCGATTACATTGATTGATTACCCAATTTCATTCGCAAGATGACGATCGTCCAGCACTTGTCTTGTACCCTATATTTTGACAGAGGTTGACTGATTAGAACAAACAATGATAATAAAAAATGAATAACTGACATCATACAACTTTTTACAGCTTCCACTCTTTTTTTTTTCATTTGTAAATACAACTGTTCATACCGCATATTTGCATGCCCTTTTTTTAAAACACATTAATTCCGAAATAAGTTTGGGCGCATCACTTTTTTTAAAAAAAGGAACTCAAATGCTTACCCTAACTCTTTAACCCAATTAGAATTGGTTTGTGATTAATTTTAGAATACATGAGGTTGTATAAATTGTCTCAACACAAACAAACACACAACACATATATAAATAAATAAATAAAAATTAGAAAATAAGACAAGATAAAAAATAAATAAATAAAAATAAGATAAATAAAGAAAAAAAATATTTTTTTTATTTATAGAGTTAAAGGTATTAAACAATTCGAACCATTTCACTGGATTTTTTTTTTTTTTTTTTTTTTTTAAATATATACTGTACATGTATAATATATATATATATATATATACATTGAATTAGATTACTTTTCGATTTAGAAAATTCACCAAATCGGATTAGATAATATATTTTTTTTCCTCTCTACATAAAAAAAAAGATAATAATAAGTTAAATGCGTGTAGAATTGCAGGTGACACCAGAATTTGATTTCTAATATAAATAATATATATACCTGACTTTTCCAAAAATTATTGTTTAAATCCGACTTTGTTTTGACGGTACATGCAAAAAAAAATGACAAATATAATTAAAAAATGCTGCTGTTGCTTCGGATTGAAGAAAATCAATCGAAAAGGTCAAAGAGCACAGCCACAATCGACCCAAACATCCAAACAAATTCCGAAATGGATGTCGTTTCTTCGACGAAAACAAAATAATAGTAATTCAAAAGTGAAAATAGATATAAATTCAAATAAAGGAAAGGGAAAGCAAACCGAGAAGATCATTACCGATGAACTCGATTCGGTTTCACGGGATGAAATTCGATCGGAAATGAATTTGAAAGGCAAGCAAGTTGAAACCGAAAATATCGATGAAATTCAAGTAATTGAAACTCAACAAACACAACAAAATGAAACGAACGAACCGTTACCTCGACGAACGGAATGTGATTCAACCAAGCAGGAAGAAACAAGTGAAGAAACGCATCAAGTTATACAAAATTCAAATGCTTATAACCAGTCAGACAATTTAATTGATGTACAGATTGATAATGTAAATAACAATGTAATTGTCGCATCATCACCATCATCACCACAACAAAACAAGATAATTATGAGAATAAAACGATTTTTTCGACGAAAGAAACCTGTTTCAAATGAGACGGAAGAAAATTCAAGCGTAAATAACAAAGTGAATGTTACAAAACAAAACAGGATAATAACAATCCCAACAGATTGTTTGCTTGAAATATACAAATATTTCTCAGACGATCAAAGAACCTTATATTCTTGTCTTTTGGTGGACAAGCATTGGTGTTCCAGCACCGTTCGATTAATTTGGAAGAGCCCGTTTCAAAATAAATGTTCCCCGGCTGTTATTGACGTATACCTGTCTTGTCTTTCAAAACACGAAAAAGAGAACCTTATTGTAAATATAAAGAGTGATGTGATCCGTTCAATTTTGACTAAGGATGCAATTTTCTACTATGCTAATTTTTTGCGTCAATTAAACATGAACAATTTGCGCGTTGCTGTCGACGCATGGGTCAAAGAACATAATCTCATTGAAAGGTATTTATGCTTGTCACGTGATTTGTGCCGTAGCACACTTTTGAAGACATTTTTTTTTACTTCCAAATTTATTCCAAATTTATAGGCGATCCACGGACCTAATATGTCGTGCTTTGTGCAGACTGTTCCTAACCAACTGCGAGAATCTCAAATCATTATGCTTAAATTGGAATCATTCCAACATTTCTGGAAAATGGAAGAAATATCCAATATTTCCATATCATCGAAATGCATCGACATTTTTACATGAATTAAGCGAATTATCAATTCATCGCATCAATAAGCGTGACATATTCTTGGATATGGTGAAGCACTCCAAACATCTTAGTAAATTAGAATTTTTGGATTATTGCTTCGATAATCTTCCAGACCATCGACAAGATTCCATTTATACGCTCATAAAAGATCAATTCAATTTACAACATTGTAAATTATTTGCATATGGACTCTGTCCTATAATACCTATGAATGGTTTAAACTTTCAAAAACATTCATTAATTCATTTTGAATTGATCTACGCAAAATTCACCTCTGGGAATTCTCGTGAGGCTTTTCAAGCATTATCGACATGTCGTAATTTAAAAATTTTAATAATCGAATATTGTTATTTTGTCAATCAAATTGTTCTTCAACCTTTAATTGAAACAAGCTTTCCACATTTATATAAAGTTCAATTCAAAAATTTACAAAGTAGTGCGGCTGAGATTTTTACTTGTATCATTAAAAATAATTCGACCTCTTTAAGAGTACTTCATTATTCTGACGATGTTTCTCGTCGATCAACAACGTATCCAATCTTGGATGCGATTGTATCACATTCCGCATCATCCCTTGTCTCGCTCACCATTCCCTTTAAGAATTGTCAAAACCCAAATCTAATGTATATTTTATCATACTTCACACAACTTCAAAGTCTTAAACTTATTGGGTCTTATGGTCATGAAAGGTCATTCGTAGATTTCCTACCTGAAATGGCAAGGATGTTGCCGGTCAACTTACGACATCTTAGTTTAGATTTGAACTGGGTCATAATCAATACCTTATCCGAATTTTTAACAAATTTAAAAGCTCCACTTGACACTTTATATATTACTGGATGGTCGAGACAGATTCGTAGCAAACATGTCAAGATGATTGAAAAATATTTACGACAAAATAATCCCGGATTGGGTTTATACGATTTTATAAAAGACATCACTTAATAGATTAATAAAAAAATGTAAATTTAGAAAAAAAATTTTTTTGTAAATAATTTTAATAGATTTTAATTTTAATAGAAATATTAACGTTAATAGAACGTTTATCATTTTTCAGAAAATGAACATTTGTCCGACGCGAACATTTCGTCGATCGTCTCCAAAAATGTGCAACTAATAAAGTGCTGCAGTAAGTTTCGTGTAATTTATCGTCTCCGGCTATTTTTAGTAATATGTTTAATTACATATTTTTAACGAGAAACTTTAAAACTTGCTGATCGGTGGCCATTTTTTTTTAAATTATATGCATGTTAAATTACACAATTACACATGATGTAATAATAATCGTCAATACTGGCGCGTCATTTGTTTAGTTGTTTCATAAGAATTACCCTATCAGTTCTTGACATGCCATGAAATACATTCGTTTGCATTTTAGAATGATCAACATTTGATGACAAGCAAATAAATTTCAATTTCTTTTTCTTTTTCAATGAATGCATCCGAAACCCTTGTTCATTGCATCAAGTGGGAATGACCGACCGATTTTTTTGTGTGTTGAGAAATACAAGGAAAGACTTTCGTGGCCAGTAATGACGAGTCCTTATCAAGGAGATTCAATTTGTTTTATGAATTTTTATGGAAATTTTATAATGAATATTCTAACATTGAAAACCGGTATTGTTGTCAGTTTCATCTTTAACATAGGTAAGTTATTTGAAATTTTTTATGGTTTTTTTAAAAAATAAATTTTTTATTTTTATTTTTTTATTATACTTTTTTATGATGACGCGTTTTTTATGTAATTTCAGTTCGATCATCTGAGGTTAAGCAAAGATACTCTAATATTGATTTTTATCAAACAACCTGAAATTTTTCTTGAACATGTGACGATTTCATAAAACGATTCATTGCTTTTACTCACGTCAATGTCAAACATTCTCTCCAAGTATGAAACTACTCAGAATTAATTTTTAATCAAGTTAATTTGAATCTATGAACATATTAAAAGAGCGCTTTTTAATTTTTAACTTTACAGTTCAAGTTTCGTAAGCTGAACTATTCAGATATCAATGCTAACGTGGAGATATGATACGGGCATTTCGTAATGAAGCGCTTACTTTTTTTTTATTTATTTATTTATTTATCCGATGAAACCTTGTTAATTTGTTTTAATATAATTCAATAAAATCTTATTAAATTGCTCCTAAATGTAATTTGTTTTTGGATGTAATAATACTAAATTCAAGCGATACTTTAATTTATGTAGCTTATTGATATAAAGGACCCTTACAAAAAGTATACAAGTAATTTTTTGAAGGATTGAACCCCTTGACTTTAGCAACGTAATGTAATTAAAACTAAGGATCAAAGATTAATCAATAAGAAACTGTACAAATTCGCAACATAAACCACAAATTATAAAAGGAATGGATAATGAGAGAAGGAAAGATAAAATTGAAATGGAAATACAAAGTGATGTTAACGAAGAAGAAGCAGCTGAAAAGTAGGAGAACGTGATATAAAAAAAAGATGATGAGGAAGAATTAGAAGGAGAAAAATTAGGAAAGTTCAAGTTATTGAATAAGAGGGAGAAGAAGGAACAATTGTGGAATAAAGCATAGGTGGCTCCGAACACGAACCTATCGAGTCACCGTTTAAAAATGATAGAATATAAATCATTTAATCATTGCTTCCTTCTGAATTATGATTTCTAGTAAATTAAATATTGCTATACGAAATTTAATTTAATTTCATTGCAGCTGATCCATATTGTGTTATATCGTTAACCTTTATTAAAATAGCTTTTCAATAATGACATCTTGAGTAACATTTTGCCCTATTCAAAAGATTATTTAATTCGTTTGGTTACATAAATTAATCCGAATGTTTATTATCGTTGTTACAGTTGTTACAAAGTAATTTAAGTTATGCAACACGGTTATATTAGGGCCTTTGTAAACAAAGGGGAAAGTAAAGTGCAAGTAATTTTCACAAAGAATTAACTCATATAAAATTCTCGGTATAAGCTATAAGAAGAATCAGGAACCGATTTTTAATGCTTATATCGCCTTAATAAATAATAATAATAATATAAAATATAAAATTAACTTTAAAAAATCTATTATTGAGATGGACAATTTAATACCATTTAATAGAGATTTATGGAGATAATTTTTCAATTGGAAAAAATAAGTTCGGATCCTTTAATATTAAAATATGATATATTGATATAATCATATAATTTGTGATGCCAGCCGTTTGGGGATCGACTTTCACCAAAAGACTGAGTAGTGACTGAGTCATGATAAATATAGTTAAGTGGAATTCTCTCCAACTCATTCGGAGATTTCGGGACACGATTTACAAATCACGTGGAAAATTTTTTTTTTTTTGAATGTTTCCTTTGATTTTTTCTTTTTCTATTGCAGATTTCCCAATGAAAACACTGCAAAGAAAATAAAACAAAGGCAGCAAAATAAAAAGAAAACAAAGAACAAGGTGTAGTGTGAATTTGGAATAATCATCTATAAACTAATTAATACTCCGAAACATTTCCATCGGTTTCTATATATGATTTCCTTGTTGTCTTTTTCTATAATATTGCAGAAGAAAATATGATAAGAAAGGAGGGTGAAAGAATGTTCAGAAAACAAACAGGTACAGAAAATGTCCGGAAAAATAATATCAAGTAAATTGGAAACTCTGGAAAAAGTACCGAAACTTCGAAACATGAGTTGTTGCAGATTTCGAAAAGTTTTCTGTACCGTTCTATGGGGAAAAATTTTGCTGCACGATAATATTTTTTGATGTTTATTAAATTATAAATGTTGCTTTTTAGATAATTTTCAGTGCATTGTATCAGTTAATGAATTCAAGTACTGCTACGCCACAATAGCTCCCTTTTTTTGAAGAGAGGAACCTTCTTTATGTTGTTGCTCTGCAATGAATAATCCTCTCAAAATTTTTAAGATGAGATTGCATTCATAATCATTATATTATTATTATTCTTTTTTAAAAAAAAGATGATCAATTAATATAAATATTATTGTAAAATCTATATATATCATTTTTTTAAGGCGTATGATTGAATCATTGTGTACCATTCTCCTGTACCTATTTATCATATTAACTTACATCATAGTTAAGGGTAATTCTCTCTTTTTGGGAGGGTATAATTATGAACCTGCAGGTACATGTGATTCAAGAATTTTCCTTGTATCGCTGGAAAACCAAGGAAACGTTAAACTTTTAACCAAGAACTTATTGGGAATACAAATGTTGTAATTGTTTTATTGTTGTCGGATAAGACCTTGTCCCACATGCTAAAGGAACCGAATTGAAAAAGAAAACGGTAAATTAAAGGGCATACATTGAATAAAAAAAAAGGACAAAGAAATCACAAATTAAATTTAATTTAATTCCGGCCAAAATCATTGGACAATTATAACCGAATTGCATTTTCAAAGTATATTTATTATGTGGGGGAATAATTTTTAAAAATAATAGCACAATAATAAAGAAAGTTTGAAAAGTATTTACCGAAATTTTTATTTGCTCATTCAGCAACATATTATCAAATTATATTAAAAAAAAAATAATAAGGAAAATGTGTATGAATTAGCTTGAATAGGTGACGAAGGCTGCAGTGCTAGGACCCCACCCCAACAAAACACTTTGAAAAAGAGCAGGTCAACCACGTACATGAATAAAAGTGAATCTAATCGTAATTATATTATTATTAAATAGAACAATTTTTAATTTAGGAAATAAAAAGGGTATAAACAAATCCGCATGTTAAATCACGCGAAAAAAAATTTAACAGTTACTATATTTATATTACGAGCAAACACAAAATTTGATGATCAGCAACGAATGTTTCGAGAACTTTAAACGAAAATTCCGGATCTATTGACGTGGTAGATGACGGATTGTCAATTGACTACCTGACTCTATCAGCCTATTTGTCAGTCTTCCGACATCTTCACGCTCCTCCTGCATCACAATTCCAAATATGATATATTCTCGGGAACTATGCACGATCAGACAGATTTTTCGTATGCAAGTGCATAAATACTACAATGATATATCAATCTCTTAATGTTTTTATTTTGCATAGATCTTTGGAACATGTGCGATGTACGGATTTAGTTTACAAAACAAAAAAAAAAAATAACCTGATACAATGAATAAGAAAGTAATGGGAGCAAAATCACATCAGATCGTATGATTTAATATATCTCGTGACTTGATTTTACAGTTATTTTTTTAAATATATTAATAGTTCGACTTTTAAAGATTTCGGGGAATTTGATTTATATTAATTATACTAATTGACATTGGTTCTAGGTTCATGATTAATATACTATATTTTCCGAAACATTTTCCACGCGCAAAACCTCATATAGAATGTATTGCCATTATGGAAGTTCTTCATGAAGTTTTTGTTTCAACGAATTCAACATCAAACGATTAAACATTTTCATTTGAAAAGGTTCTTTTGACATATTTATCCCCCTTTTTGCAAAAGATTAAATAATTTTTTTTATGTTTAAGGATATAAATTATGTATGAATGAGTGGTTATGAGGCAACATCAAGATAACTTTTATTACCATTGATTCATCATCTTCTGAAAGATGTGAATATCCTTAAACAAGCATAAACAACTTCTATAACGAAGAAGATATTTGGAACAGGATTTTATTCAAATAACAATGAAATAATGAGTGAAATAATAAAATAGACTTTCGTAATATGATAAAACGTATTTATTTAATGAATTTTTAAAATTTCAAATAATAAGTAATAAATATCAAAAAAAAATAATATAATACATAATCTATCCAAGTAATATTAAAATAAACATTTCTATAAATAAGGTTTTAGTTGATCAAATAATGCAAAATCAAAATCAATTGTCCTTCCAGAATAAAAAGCATTTGGATGATGTTGAGATAAATTCTCTGAATAAAAATCAATTGATTCACCATCAGAAACCATACTCCAATTTAAAGTAAAAGCGATAGAATTAATAGAAGGCCTTTTTGTCGGATCGGATTCCCAACATTGATTTAAAATCTCAACAAGATCCTTTGGAGTACCCGAAGGAATTGTAGGTCTTTTCCCTTTACATATTTCATAAGCAAGTGAGGAATCATGAGAGTAAAGTGTGTAAGGTAATTCTCCTGAAATGATACACCAAAAAATCATTCCAAGACTATAAATGTTTGAAGATTTTGTATGTATTCCTCCTTTAAGTATTTCTGGAGCAATGAATGGTATCGAACCAAATATTTTTGAACTTATTGATTGTCCTTGTTCATCTATCGATCGACACATTTCAATGTCGCTTATATAAATCTTTTGAGTTGATTGTGAAGGTTCGGAACTTGATTTGTTAAAAAGGATATTTCCAAGATGTAAATTTGTATGAACCAAGTTTGATTCATGAAGTATTTTGAGAGCCTGCACAAAATTACCAAACATTTCCTTCTTTTTTGCCCAAGATAATGATGAAGAAAATCTGTCAAGTTTGCTGGGGTCATTCAAGGATTTCATGTTGGCGTATTGTAAGACTAGCATATAATCTTGCGTCAATGGATCCTTTGTAATTCCATAACACTTTTGAATCGTCTCATCTATACACACATGATAATTCTTAATCTATGATGAAAAAAAAAAATAGGGAGGGATGATTAATTTCAAAATAATCAGGTCAAGAAGTGGCAAAATTATTAAAATACTCACACTATGTATGAATTCTTCAACCAAATGACCAGAATTAATAATTCGTTTCAACACAACGCATTCCGAAATATGCGAGTCGGGAGCAAAAAAATATTTTGGCACAAGAAATTTATCATGTTTCATCTCAGCCAATTCATCATGTTTGATCCTAGCGTAATAAACCTCGCTAATCCCTTCATTACCACCGATAAATAATATATTTTTGAATATATCATAATTAAACCAACGAAAATATCCATGTACTTCTTTTGCATTTAATTGGCTTTCTTGAATGAAATGATTTATTTCATCATCTTCACTCGTCCATGTGGAAAATCTTTCTAAGAAATATTTTGTTCTACAAACTTTACACCAATATTTATTAATTAATTGCTCTCCACACCTATTGCAGAACATCTTTATAATTGTTGATGAATAAGATTAATTTTTTTTTTAAAAAAAAAAGTTTTCAAAAATCAAGATATATTTATAGAAAAAAATTGGATCATCAGATAATTATTTAAGTTATTTAGGTTGTAATACTAGCCGAATTCGGAATTCTTTACAAGAATTTCGACAGTAAAGATTACAAAATTAAAAATATAGAAATTCTAATAATTCGGGTATTCTTAATAAATATATTGCGGATAGACTAATTGAATACGCATTTATATAATACTAACAATATAGGTTCGAGAATATGTATCATTGAGAATTCTTTTTTTTTTAATTGAATCATTACAAAAAGTTGTTACTTCATCATACATAATTTCGAGTTAGAGAAAGTAATGTTTAAATCTTCAAGTATTATTTAGCATGTGCGAATAAATTTGTTTCTATTGTGAGAAAAGTTATTGTTTAAATAAGATTTCGTCACTTGACTTTGACATTTCCTAATATAGCTTTATAATGGAAGCCGAATTTTGTACTATTTTAAGAAATCAAAAACTTATCAAATAAAACGTTAAAGAAAGAAATTACTTTTCGATTAAACAAAAAAGAATATCATTTAAGACAAATTGCTTTTAAACTATGTATACAGAAATGATGTTCTTTATACATTACATTCTATAAAAACATATTTGGATAAAAATGAATGTTTACGATCGGCTTGCTTAGTTTAAAACAGATATTACGTAAATTGCATGGACATAAAAATTTTATCGTAAATCTTTTAATTCATATATAAATGGTTTTAGTTCACAATTTTATCCCCCGATAAACTTTTTCATTTCAATAAAAATACACATATTACCATTATAAATTTATTTGTAATTTAATTTTGGCCTTTTTTTCTATTTATAAAAAAGGAAGTTTTTAAAGCTTACAAGTGAGGAGATACAAATTTTATTTTTTTTTTTTAAAAAAAAAGGTTAAAAAAATGATGAAAAGAGGATGAATGTACAGAGTTGATAAATGAACCTTTGAGCATATTTTAATATACATACAGTGTTCGCCTTACTTATATAAGTCATTATAGGTGAATAAATAAATCTTAAATGTTTTTTTTTTTTTTTGTTTTCTTATTTTTTTTTGTTTTTGATTCTGCATAGTGTTTGCTTTTATAATTTTTTTGGTGTTTTTGTTCATGTTTTTTTTTTTTTTTTCTAACAAAAATCTATAGATGTTCTTTCTATATGAGAAATTATGATTTTGATTATGATCTAAATGTACGAAACGATGCTTGATGTGTGAATAGTAAATTTCATCGAAGATTAAGGATAAGAAACAATTTCGATTTTTTTTTTTAAAAAGAATGTCAAGCCGTTTGAATCATAAGTGGAGGTGCTATGGATCTTCTTCGATGCATCATACTTGGTGGAGGAACATACGGTTCCTCGAATTCGTCATCGCTTTCGCTTTCACTTTCGCTGTCACATTCGGAAAATTCTTCGGGTGGATAATGTGTGTCATACTCTTCATATGTTATTTCTTCGACTAGATTTATTTTTTTATTTGCTGTGATGATAAAAAAAATGAAAGAACAATCGTAAATTCATTAGGCCTTATGTGCTAAAAAGTATTAAATCAAAAAAAAAACAAATACTTACCATTTAAGTAAGAAGTTAGCACAGGTTCCGCAGAATATGTTGAATTTGTAGGTATCGGTAAATTGGGGAAGAATAAGAAACGACTAGTATAAAAAGCAAATGGGTGAATATCCGGTGCAACCGGATATAACGTATTTGATATTCGTGACGCGCAGATCTTCTCAAATGCATCCACGTCATCGATCTCATCGGCCGTGTTCAGTGAATATTCGTCTAACCCAAGTAGGCGACGATGATATGCGTAGGGCGATGTTAATATATCCACTATTTCCTCAATATCGGGTCTTTTTGATGGATTTGCGTCCCAACATCGTAACATCAATTGTTCATAAAATAGTGGGGTTCCAGGCACAATTGTCTCTCGAAAACCGTGACAAATTTCTAAAGCTAACGAATGGTCATGTGGCCTATCAGAAAATGGAGGTTTCCCTGATGAAAGTTCCCACATTATAAATGCAAAACTATATATATCGGCCTTAGCGCTAAATGAACCTCCAGCCAATATTTCAGGAGCTATGAATGGTAAAGATCCATAGACCCCTCGTGTCTCTGATGAAATAGCGGGACCCGATAAACCAAAATCGGCGATATTACAACTATAAAACTTTAATATATTTCCGCTGTGCAGATTTTTATGATATGAACCATTCTTGTGTATATTTAATAGACCCATTGCTACATTGCATAACATTTCAGCAGCATCTTTCCATCGGAGCGTTGCCATGTTTCGTTGTACATAGTGACGCAGATCTCCGTCTTCTGCAAAGTTCATGACTACCATATATTCTCCAGTTTCTGGATGTTTTGTTACTCCATGACAATGTACAATATATCCGCACCCATCCAATTTGAGACTACCATGACGTTTAAACTAATAAATGTTTAGCAAATCCTAGTTAGAATGATAAATATATATATATAAATGTATTTTTATAAAAAAGAGTGAATTTTACCAACCTCGTCCAAGAATTCATCACCAAGGTCCTGTGAGTTCTTTAGGGATTTTAGAGCAACCACAAGAGGTTTTTCTAAAAAGACTTGTTTCGCACCATCCCATACTTGATCTTTCTTATTCTTCCAGGTAGCAGAAAAAACAGAACTATGTCCTCCTTTTGCTACAAATTTGACGTCGCTAAAATTTTCAAAAGGTATCCATTGCATATGAAAGCGAGGATCTCTAATGGATAAAAAAGAATTAATTAGCGATTAGGAGGTCAAAAAGAAATCCCACCGAGCAAATTACTCGGGAAGGCATTCCTTACAACAAAATTATATGAAAACAAATATTTGTTGTGAACTTACGGTGTCTCTAATTGGGTTTGTTGTATAAATTTGTCTAAGGTGTCATTTCCGCTCGTCCAAGCTCCAAATTCATTGATAAGTCGAAGCCTTTCTTCCCATTGCCAATCATCATCTGTTGAGTCAACATCCACACTTACATCATCTTCATGGTCGTCAAAAGATAGGTTATTTGAGATAAAACTAAAATCATATTTTTCAACCATTGTGACCATAGTTTGATATGTATTTTTTTTTTTAAATTTTTACAAATTATTTTTTTATTAATAAAAAAAAATTAAAAAATAAAGGTAAGGCTTTATGCTATTGAAACGATAATTTTAGATGTCAAAAAAAAAGTAGAAAGCTTTTCGTTGAAAAGAATAAAATAATTGAAAAAGTGTATATGTTTTTAAAAAAAATGGAAGAATGAATATTTGAACAATTTAATCGAAAAATTGAACAAAGGGGGTATTTATGATCAACAACCAAATTGTAATTCGTAAATTATTTTACTAAAATTCAGCCCTATTTACGGAATGACTGATTGGGTGATGTATTGACATGGAGTAGGACAATTAATTTGGATACACAAGCCAACAACAATCGAAAATTTTCTAATGGAGAACAAAGGTAAAAGAATGAATGCAATCCACGTGGCACAGTAAAATATTTGACATAAACCTCGTTTCTGTTATGCAGGTTGAACTAAAAATGAAGAAGAGTGGAACCTGCAACACATGAATATGACATAATCATTATTCCTTCGCATCGTAGATTATCCGAACCAACGAGCACTTCATTGACACCTTTTTTCACATTATTATAGCGGCAACTTTAAGTTTCTTTCTGCGAATCACCATTTTTTACACAAAAATCCCTTTACCACATACAAAAAGCAAGGTACATCTTCATGTGGTCAGGGTAAATGTTAGATGCCGCAAACATTTTATGAATTTAGGTTAAATAAATGCCAAAATTGGTTAAACCTGCTTCCAATTTTCATCAATTTCCCCAGGAATTGAACAACTGCATAATTCTCCCGCAAAAGTTCTATTTATAGATCTTTTGTTATGTTCACTGCATTTAATTAATCGACTTTTTAATATAAATTGAGACTTTATTCAGATGATATGTATGATATGTTGTTGGAATTAGGTCAACCCATTCTTTATGGTTTTTCGAAACTGTATTCCCATAGATGTTGGCTGATTATCTTCATTGTAAAACTGTAAAACAAGGTTCATAATCTTATATAGTTTAGAACTGTCAGCTGTCAAACTTGTCAAAAATGGTCAACCAACCGTCAACTCTGTTGACCGAGCATTCACTTTCTATTCGAAATTTCTATGCACGGAATGTGTCACGAAAAGATAATGTATGCAAACAATTATTACAAGCGAATCAAGAATCTGCACGCTGCACTACCCGAGTTGTTGGCGTTAACTAAAGTTAGAATTTTTTTTTTCTTTTTAGATCGTCAGAAATTTTTAGTAGTTGCGTAGATTTTACATATTTCTTTGTAATTTCAAGAAATTTTAACCGTCTATAGGCTACAAAGGTAAAAGTTATATCTAATTTTTTTTTTTTTTTCGGGTCTTTTTTATAGCTGGGTAACTTGACAACTTTCTTTGTGAAAAACATTATAATTTTTTTTTTAAAAAAAAAAATTACTTTATTGTAACCTTTATTATTTACCCCGATTTTTTTTTTCGTCATTGTTAAAAAAATCGCAACAATTGTTCATTGTTATTAGGATTGATTGAATAATGGGTTTTTATTAATCTATTTTATTATAGGTTCAAATATTAAAAGAGGATTTGCAATATAAAATTATTTCTGGTAAGATGGGTATCATTGATGTTGTTCAACTTACTAAATAAAGGTTATCGTGCTAGGCTTTCACAATATAACCATTCTATATCATTTTAGTTTTATTCTTCCAGTAATAAAATTACAAAATATGGATAAGGAGGAACAACAGACTAGATTGGAACAAAGGTTGGCAAATATTACAAAGAATATCAGAACTGGAGTATGTTTTAATGAGAACGTTAAGAGATTTTTTGATATCATATTTATCATTTTTGATTAAAAGTTCTAAATATCGTAGATCATTGTTTTATTCAAATAGAGTCCAACTCCTAGTTCGCGCGGAAGGATTGATGAACTTGAAAGTCGAAATTTTACTCTTGAAGAGGAGGTAGAATACTTACCTTTTTTTTATTTTTATTTTTTGATTTTATTTTGATTTTTATTTTTATTTTTAATTCATTTTATTTAGATTAATAATATATTTTTTCTTACTAGGTTAAAGATCTTAGAATTCAATTAAACGGAAAGCAAAATGAAATCAGTAAAATTCAAGAATTACTAAACAAGAGAACCGGTGAATATATATTGATTAGATTTAATAACTTATTTATAGTGATTTTTAACTTACATTCAAATTTTAGTTGATTTGGAAAAGACAAAGAATGAATATGATGAGAAAATGAAAAAAATGAGGGGTAAAATTACTTAAATTTATTTATTTTATTTTATTTTAAAATTACTCAAATATTTTATGCAATATATAGGCATTTTTAATGGTGCTAATAAAACCTTGATGGAGTTAAGGCAATCAAATGCAGCAAAAGATTTAGAGATAGAACAACTTAAAGCAACTATGGAAAGCATGGAAAAAAAGCATGAAGAAACAACAAACGTTGTAGATGAAAATCAAAGTTCGTGATAAAGATTTATTATAGAAATATTGATAGTTTATTTTTGATCATTGCTTATATTTTTATCCTTTGATTGTTCTAGAGTCAATGGAGAAATTGACTACAGAATTGCATAGTCAGTCGGCGATGTATAACGCACAAATAGAGCAATTGGTAATTTTAAATCTTTGAATTTATATACAGTAAATTTCACTTATGCTAAGTGTTTATGAATATTTATTAGGAATCCAAACTTAGACAATCAAACCAACAAGTTACTCAAGTAAAAGCAGAGTTTCAACAATACAAAATAAGAGCTCATGCATTACTTGAACAAAGGAATTCGAATAATGAGAGTGATGTTTCAAATGTGGATACTTTAGAATTAGTAGCTTCAAATAACAAATTGGTATCTGATCTAAGGTTGGATTAAAGTTATTAAATGAACAATGTTTAATAAGATTATTAAAAAATATTTTTATTTAAGAAAAATTATTTTTATTTTTCATTTTTTTTTTAGCTTTAAAACTTCAGAATTGAAGCATGCTCAGGATAAACTTAGAACTACTGAAAGAGATCGTAAACGAGCATGTGAACTTAACGCACAACTTGAAAAGGAATTTGAAAAAGCACAAAGAGCGGCAAAAGAAAACTCAGAGACCGTAAAATCTATTCAGAAACAAATGGATAATTTACAAGAAGAAAATGAACATTTAAAAGCAGGTTTTTGAAATTTTTTATATAATCTAGGCACTGTTTCATTATTTTGATATGAAAGTTTTATTATTCTAATTAAATATTTAATTAATTTATTTAGCACTCAAAGAGACTGAAGCTCGTTATTTAGCTAATGTTAAAGATTTCGATAATAGACTTACAAAGGCAATTGATGCAAAAGAGAAAAGTCTCATACAAAAGCAAGAGGAAAATGAGGCCTTACAAAAAATTTCAGAGGTGGTATATTAAATATGCTGAATAGATTTTTTTTTAGTTCAAATTTTTATTAAGATCTTTGGATTTTGATCTCTATAGCAACTTGGTGAGGAATTATCACAGCTAAGGTCAGAATTATCTAGCCGTCATGAACATATTGAGGAACTTCAAAAACAGCTTGCTAGTAAAATACCGTCAGCATCAGTGGTTGTAAGGAATGCTATTAGAAATGATCATAGCCGTTCGTCATCTCCTTCTTCAGTAACAAGTCGTACTAGTGGTAATTACAGTAAGTAATGTTAATTTAAGTTTTTCTATATCTACATTAACGTTATTATACTAACAAGGTTTTTTTTTTAGATACATTATCCGATCTTTTAGCGGATATGGAAGAACGCACATCCAATGTATCTGAAAAAGACAGAGACAAGGATAATTTATTGAAATTGCATCATATGGCCGAAATGCTGAATGATAGTGAGGCACATGTTCAGAGATTATTAGAACAAGAAAAGGTAAAGGCCATCTTGATGTTGTGTCGAAATTTATTAATTGTTTTCTAACGCAACCATTTTTTTTAAGATATTGAAAGAGGAGCTTCGTAAGTTAGATAGGTTAGAAAAACGGCAAGACTTAAGTGTAGAATATTTGAAGAATGTCGTTCTCAAATTCTTTGAATCAAATCCGGCCGATCGTGAGCCTTTGGTTCCTGTAATATCAACAATATTACAATTAAGTCCAGATGAAGTACAGAGTTTAAAAGAAAATGCAGTCGATGCAAATTCTAATCCGGTTGTATTAAGTTTTGGAGTTTTATAAGCTATATCTTTAATAATTTTAGGTGGACAGGTAATGATGATAGTGTTAATCATATTTTATTTGATTTTTAATTTTGAATTTTGAATTTGAAATAACAAACACGAAAAATATCCGATAATTTAATTCCGAAAAAGGGAAACTCTATAGGTGATCATGTATATAATTAATAATTAATTACCATTTGAATACTATAATTCATTATAGTATTAATTTATTAGAAAAAATGGTTAAAAGGATATTATTTAGTATAAGAATTTACAATATATTGGTATATTAAACTGATTTGATAAATTTTAATACATTATTAGAATTAGTAATCTTTCTGCTAATGATTTAGGTGAAACACTCTTTTGTGATAATTAAATAGTTCGGAGTTCTTTGAGCCTTAGTAGATGATGATAATCCATAAACTAAAAAATTCTCTGAATTTAATGATGGGAATTGAGGTATTTCTTCTTGTTCATTTATAATCTACTACAGTTTCAAGATTAGTGAATAATTAATCCACACAAAACAGTTTGGAATTGTTAAGAATCATCCTATCCAATATCTAAATGAAAATTTTAGTTTAATTAGATACCATTTAAAATAAAAAATAAAAATTTTTTTTATATTCAGTACTAATATTAAAAAGTAAAAGTAAGAATAAGTCGAAATCAATACAACAAACTAAAAATGAAACTTCAAAATATATTTTCCGAAAATCTAGTATCTAGATATTGTGCCCAAATAAGGAAACAGATTAACCGTACGACTATGCGCATCAGTTACAGTAAATTCAAATAACAATATAAATCCAAAAATTTGCGTATTAGTGAAGAATCTCCCTTAGTCTAGTGTTTTTTGAAACAAACTTCCCAAAAACTTTTTTTTTCAAACCTATCTTATAAACAAATGTCCACTTTTTTTCGTATTACTCTAAACGATACTCACGCTTACTAATTAATTCTATAAAATTTCGTATTCTGGTTATATAACTTTAGCGTCTCCTCATGCCACGACTAATCCTACAACAGTTGCGTCTCCTCGTTCTCGTCCTACGACAATCACACAACTGCGGCTCAACAAATGAACAACACAATATTAAGTTTAGGTTTTATAAAAAAAAGATAAATATTTAAAGAAATGAATCTCGCTTAACTATTATTATATAGAACGGATGTAATTATATTATTTCTTTCTTTGTTTTTATTAATAAATCTAAAATTGTTATCTTGCTTTTCTGTATTCCTCTTTTAGTAGCTAATAAAGCTTTTTCTTGTGCTATTGATTCATTTGCGTAATTCATGAATAAAATCAATTGCTGTGTAATTTGAATTGAAAAGTCCTTCTCGTTTTTATTTTGCCAGTCGGAATTTGTAATAATATTCTTGCTTTTAATATTTGAAGGAAATTTGCAATTTTTTTGATTGAAGGTAGTTTCTTTTTTCCTGCTTCTGATATTGCGTTTTTATACAATCAATAAAATCATAGGCTAAATTCAACATTTAACGATACAATGAATTAAAATTTCTTTTATTTTAATAAAATTTTATTATATTGATTAAAAAAAATCTGCTTTAAATTCAGGCAGTCATGGAAAATTAAAAGAGTCATTAATATTTTTTTTTTAAAAAAAAAGATCTTTGGTTAAAATATAATAAAATGATATCATTTAAGGTCATCTAAGGTCATTTAAGGTTATTTGAGGTCGTATGAAGCCCATTTTAAAGCCATTGTCAACACTGAATCAAAGAGATCAAATCAAATTTCAAATTAACACGTTATAAAATTTATAAATAATTCAGATGATTATATCTAAAATATATTTTTTTATAAATAATGGTAAAAAAAGGAATTAAAATATTTTACAAAAATTTAAATTGTATATATATACTGTATAATCATTTTATAATTCGATTTAATTAATAACTTTTTCAAGTAATTTTTTAAATCTGAAAAATATAATCATATAAAAGATTAACTATATATATTTTAGTAATCAAAACCATGTATATTATTTCTTAAAATTTTGAATTATAAAAGTACATTAGACTTTGAGAAATAATTACATAATTTTTTAAAATGATTATTTTTTTAAAATATTAATTATATGCATAAATTAAATATTTAAAAAACTTACTTTTCAATCACCAGTCATATTGGGATGTTGCATTACGGGTTAGTAACTCAATAAACCATCTAATAACACGATAATCTCTGCAAACTGGTTAAATTTTACATCCCATTACAAAATAGAGGTAGTCTAATGAGAATATCAAGGGCAAGTAATATTTCCTCATCAATATCCAGAGAAACCAGAATACCATCGGTTCATTGAAGATGTACGCATACTTGTATCTGAAGAATCGGCGCTAGATATTTTGGTAGTCGGATTCAAAACTTTTATGATGCAAAGTGAAATGATGAATGCTACAAAAATCAGATGAGTCAGTGAGGTATTAATTATTTTCGGTTTTAAATTACAAGATAAATAACGGAATAAATACGTAGAGCATTTTGCAAAAAAAAAACCTGCCATCATAAGGAAAGTAGACGATCGACCACAACACGGATGGCGTAAAATTCAAATTCCATAATAGGTAAGAATCTTTTCAAAATAATTATACTTGAAAAAAATATACAATTATTTATTTATCAATTCGCATAAAGAAAAAATTCTTATCATCATCTACATTTTTTTAACCATAGAAACAAAAGATTTCCATCCCGGTAAACTATTAATAATCTCCGAAAAATCCAATCCACTTTCATTATTATCGTTTACGTTATCACTAGATTCTAAAAAATTACTTTTTTCTTTTTCTCGAGTGCCTTCAATGTTAGCATTTGGAATTTCTAGCTCTTTTGGAGCTAATGTAGTATTCATATAAAATGGTGATTCAGAAATAGCTTCGTTTTGTGTATTTTCCGGGATTTGTGGTATAACAGGATTAAATTTTGCTGATTTTGAAATGTTGATATGATCTGGTTCCATAGAACCATTAATAGTTGAATTAAATTTTTGAAGAAATTCATCATTTGTAAAATCCTTTTCAGAACTTGTTTGAGATAAATTTGCAAAAATTCCTCCAAATTTTCTTTCAGCTTTGTTAACTTGATCATCTTGAAAATCAGAGAAAATTAGAATTCTTTAAATTATATTAATTATTAATTCAGATGATTCTATCTTACCATTTACCCAGCTTGAGGATGTTCTTTGATAGCATTTACCTATGTTTTTATTTGTGAAATTTGACCCGTTAAAACTTGACATCAATTCTTCCTGATCCGAATCCGAATCCGAATCCCCTACATCTTCTAATTTTGATCTCGATATAAAATTGTTGTCCTCTTCAGTAGTTCTAAAGCATTCAGCATTAATTGCTGAACTGTCATTATGATCAATTTTTGATAAATCGTCTTTAATATTTTGTTGGTAATCATCTACATGATCTAAAGATGTCATTTGATTGACATCAACTGTTGTTGTGTCGTTCTTAACGTCTAAAAATATAAAAAGTCATCAATGTATATTCAAATATCGATGATATAAATTATAAATCATTTATCAATAATCAACCTTGCCCTATTTTCAAATCTTCATTTTTACATTGTTTTTGCTCATTGATTTCAAATTCATTGTCACTAATGAATTCATTTTTTTCACTCTCCGGAGTTAAGCGAACCAATATTTTTTCCCAATCCTCTTCCGTATAAACGATATGTTGAGATATTAAACTTGCATCTTCTTCACGAGTTTTGATCATATTATCCATTCCATTATCATTTTTCCTGAAAAATGATCCCAAGACACTTCCAAAATATCCTGACTCGTCATTTTGATGATTGATCTCATTTGAATTCTCCGATCTATCAACACGACTCGCCATATCATTAATAGATTGCTCCTGTTTCTTTAATCTACGTTCCCAATTAATTAAATCTGATCTCTTATCTACTAAACATTGTGCAACCTCCAGCGCAATTTCTAACCGCTTTTCCTTCCTAGTTAATTGTACTTCAACTCTTTTAAACCCTTCAATAGCTTTTTGAAGTTGCCTCAAAAGAGCTTCAGAAGAATTACTTGTAGCATCAAAGTCGTTAGATGGCCGATCCAGAGATAGACTAATAAAAATTGTTTAACATTTAGTAATAGGTAATATAACTTGGAGTATAATTTTAATAAAAGAAATGAATTCACATATAATAAACCTTAAAGCATCAATTATATCTCTCGTATGTTTTCCTGTTATAGTATTTAACAGCTCTCTAATATGTTTTTTGCCATTTTTCATCTTCTTGCCATTCACCAAGAATACTTCATACTTTTCAATTAAATCAGCAACTATTTTTTGCATAGATTCCAAAGTTCGTTGATGACGCTCTAATGAGATATTAGCCCGAGATTCTATTTTCTTTTTTGTTGACCGAATCTTTGATAATAAATCTAGTAATTTCTTTGAACTATCATTAGTTGTGTCATCATCATCAGATGAAGTGTCTTCAGAACTTGAATTACCTTCATCTGTATCATTTGATGGAATTTGTGAGAAACTTTCCACATTTTTGTTTTTTTCAGGGTTGTTAAATTCTTCGGAATGTTCTAACCAGTTCTGAACTTTTGCAATTGATTGAGGAACATAGTTTTGTCTTGATAATGTCTCATGCAAATGTAAAGACTGTGTTGGATTTTCTAAAAAGGGATTTGATATTGAATTTCCTTCCTGTATATTTTTCGGTAATTTAGGTTGATTAGATGAAAACTTCTGATCTAATGATCGTGGGAAAAGATCTAGTTGATTCGATTGTTGTTCTGTGTTAGATTGAAGATTGGTCTTCAATTCTACAGAAATTAGAGGTTTCGGTTGAAATGATTGTTGAATAGTTTGTAGTGTTGGCTGAGAATCGTTCAGTAAAAACAACGCTTTTTGATCCCGTAACGATTTGTTCTGTAAGTTTGGGGCCCGTGAACCAATAGATCCTGCTAGCTCAGCTTCATTCACTTTAGGATGTGTTAAAATTGCTGCTCCATCATTAACAAATTGTTGGTGTGCTTCATTTTCATCAATAGCAGGCTGTGATATATATCTTTCTTTCCAAATCTGGTTAAAAGATAGTTCAGATGCTAAAGCGTTTGAAACATTCCCTTGATAATTATAAGATTTATTGGTGTTTAAAGTCCCACGTGATTGATCATTTTCTTTTGACATTAAAAGAAAATCACTCCATCCGATATTATCTGGTGTCAAATTTTCCCAGTATTCTACATTTTCATCATCTTGTTCTTCCGAAACATTCATTGAAAGATTTCTTGATTCTCTTGCAATCTCCGCCATTCTTTCTCTTCTTTTATGTTTTCTGATCTCTTTATATTCATCATCTATAGTGTCTTCATTAGGCATTGTCTCCCGAATTTTGGCTTCCTGCAGTGCAAGATGATTTTCTTTCCTTTGTTTTTGTTTAATTTCCACTCTTCTATTCGTCTCTTCTTTGATTACTTGTTTTCTTATTAATTCAAATTCTTGCTTACGTCTAGCTTTTTCTTGAAGTTTTGCTTTGTATTTCAAGTATGAAAGATTTTGTGAACCATGTTTCTTCGACTTTGGTATAATCTCTTCGTTTTCTTGTAAACATTCAAAATTGTATACTCCTCTCGTATTATCATCTGTGATAATAGGTAACTGTAATTGAGACCTTGGTAACCGATATAATGGTTGTTTATTAGTGTCAAAATTCTCTTGATTTTTTGCATAATCATTCATTTGAAAAGAACTCCCGTGATTCACGTTAAATTCTTGATCATCATCACTATCCTTACAATCTTGTATTATAACATCTTTATTTTTCTTTGGAGCATTATGTTTAATTCTCAATCTTTCCTGAATTTTAATCAATATATTAACATCATTTACATTTTCCAAACATTGTGAAAATAAAAGTGATTGCTGCTGATTCTGCTTCTTACGTTGTTGTTCCTTATCTAAACCGTTTAATTTATTTAATCTTTCTTTACGTCTACCCTTCTTTATTATTGTAACAAGATTTGTTATGTCATGGTTATCAGGATAATGGGAACCTAAAGTTTTAAATTTTGCTAAAGCACATTCTTCCAATCCTTCATTTTCTAATGTACTTATTGATGGTGAACGAGATATTTCAATAGTTCCTAAAATTTCATTTTCACTCTCACTTTCATTTGATGGTTGTGACATACGAGTACTATTTGATGTACCAAATAACGAATCTTTAATTTTTTTTTCAGAATAACGTTTCTGGCTTTGTTGTTGCTGCACAGACATGAAACAGTAATATATATCTCTCTCTAACAAAACTAATGAACTAAAGAATCTTTTAAAACGGGAAATGGAACAAACTGTAAAATAAAAAATAAGATAAATATTTGAAAATATTACAACCAAAAAGAGAAAAATGAGAAAAAATGAGCCGCGTAAAATCTGATGACTTTTAACGATAAATCATGTGAAATAATGATCCGGGCGAAATTAGGGCTTTAAAGTTAAAACGAACACGAAACTTTAATTCGACAAAGTAGCATCCGCAGTAAGCACATGATACAAAGGTGTAATAAAATGGAGTGACAAAAGTTAAAAGGACAACTCCGAATTCTTTGAAATTGTACAAACTATCTTTGCTTTTTGAATCAAGTAAGTAAAATTACTATCAAAAAGACGAGAAAATTAGAACTTTAAATTATACAGTATTGTAAAATGCCGAGTGAGCTTCTTTCTATTATATTTTCCGGCTTTTAATGAGAGCCGATATATATTGTTTTGTGTATTTTGTTTGTATTTTTCGGTTATAAGTACACAATTTATTAAATAAATTATTTATTTATTTTAATTTTAGGCGTTGATCTTCTTTTACCTTTAGGTGAGCTATTGTCCGTTCAACAGCAACCCATTCCTAAAATAAAATCCCTCAAAGGAATAGCTAATCACCGTTGTTATCATGACTTATCAACCCACGATGGTAAAATCAAATCCACTCAGAAACAAACGAATCATAGGAACAATTATCAACCTTTGAGACTGACAGAGGCTCAAAAAATCAGAAGTGATGCTACTAGAATCAATAAATCGTTAAACGTTCTTCCAACCAAAGCAAGTCCTTTAAAGTTTATAGACATTTATTATTCAAACAACAATTGTTATATCTTGAAAATTTATAATGATTTTGCATTAATGGCGATGAAGAATTTCAACAAGGATCAATTTATTACTAAATTCACAGGAAGTGGGATACAATGTGTGCAATTTATTGAAAGAAACACTTTAGCCAATGAATTATATATAGAGTTTTGTTCTGAAAGGTCTTTAAGCCCTTCTGAAATGACCGTATTCATTAGCAGAAAGGAGAATCCTAATTGTTACATAATTAAGACTTTTGATTCGGGACAAGTCATTTTAAGCGTTTATGCCAAGAGTGATGTTGATGTAGGAGAAGAACTTTCAATTGGAACAATTTGGTCAAGTATAAATTCGGGACCTTGTATCAATGGATTAATTAACAGTCGAAGAGATTGGTTTAAGGATTTGACATTAACTGATATTAAAAATGACATTTACCAAAATATTTCAATTTATTTGAACACAGAGGAAAGATATTATATGAATAACGATCCCGATCTTTTAGTAGAAACTGCTACATTAGAAAATGAAATTCTGGAACATTTTCTTGGTTATCGGTATAACCGAGTTTCAATTGATGATTTGGTAGAAGTGACGATTAAATTATTTAAATTAAATTTTAATGATAAAGAATTCATTAAATACACAATATCGTGTTTAAATAATCATGTTAGTATTAGCCAAAAAGTATCTATTTTATTCAATACTTGCAGACTATTTATGCTTTGGTGGAATGATATCAAAGAGTTAACAATAGCATCTAAATCAGAAAGGTTTGCGGTTTGTTGGTCTTTATCATTCAATGGAATGATGGAAGTATATATGAATGCTGAAGCATGGGCAAAAAATTTAGCAATTTCTTTTGATAAATTTAGTGAATATCTTTGGCAATGCTTAGAAGCTATTGGGTGGGAAACCGTAACTACTGTTACTTCTTATAATTATTTTCTTTTTCAATTATCTAATACTTATGGTATTTAAAATAACATTTTAGTATCATTTTTATTATTTATAATTTCATAATTATTTTTTTTTTAAAATATTATGTTTTTTATTATATTTTAATTAATTTAGAAATTATTTATCGTTATCATTTACTTACAATTTAATTAAATATTTTAGATTATAAAAATGATTAGGTAAAAGAAAGATTATACATTATAAAATACATATTAGATTATAATAAAATAATCAAACATTTCTATTATAATTCATTTTTAATATTATCAAAATTAAACAACATTATAGAATGATTTATAATTATTAATATAAATTTTAATATTTTAAATAATTAATAACAATTAAATTTCTAATTACATTTAAATAAATTTATAAATAATATTATTCATATAGTTTTAAATATTTTGAATTTTCTATATTACTAAATTTTCTTTTTAATATTTAATATTTTTAATAATAAATTTGAGAATTTATATTATTTACTTTCTATATTTCCTATAAATAATCTGTATAAAAAAAGTATACAGAAACAATACATTTAAAAAATATTTAATAAATGTAAATAATAGTATAATAAACTGAATTTATACTGTATATTTATTCATTAAATTATATATAATTTTGGTTAAATTTTACACATTTAAACATTAAATTGCATATATAATTTTAGTTGCAATTTTCATTAATCATTAAAATTTATATGTTTATTATTAAATTTATTAAAAAAAAAATTAAAAATATATCTATTTTTATTCTATAATATTAATTAATTGATTATATTAAATAAGAGTTTTACTATTTAAATTAAAATTAAAATATATAATATAAAACAATTATCTGATTTTGTATTATCAAGAGAATTAATTTTTTGATTTCTTGTTTTTTTCTACTAAATTATTATTTTACTATATTATTTTATATATATAATATTTTAAGATTTAATATTAAAAATAAATATAACTATTACTTTTTTAAAAGCAACTTTAGTAATAATAATATATAGTAATTTGTGGTGGTGATAATAATGGTAATAACTTTAGTAAATTTAACAAAATTCCAACTTAGTAATAATAATTGTAGCAAATATAGTATTAGTAATAATAATTAGGATTCTGTAATTTAATTTAATATTCAAATATTCATTGAAAATCAAATAAAATATTAAATTTAAATTTATATTTGATTGAATTCAGTTAAATTCAAATTAAATAATGATTTATTTGATTAAATCTAAATTAATGTTTAATTTGATTTGATCAAATTTAAATCAAATATTCAAATATTTAATTTGATTTGAATCAATTAGTAAAGCTATTTTTAAATTTTCAAAGGTTTTTTACTAAGAAAACTATAGTAAAAAATGTCTTTATAACTTCAAATATTTATTACTAAAAAAATCAAAGTAAAAATGTCTTTGTAATTTTAAGGATATTTTTTACTAAGAAAATATAGTAAAATCATCATTATATCTTTAAAAATATTATTTTACTAAGAAACTATAATAAAAATATCTTTGTATTTCAGAAATATCATTTTATTAATAAAACTTTTACTAATAAAACTATAATAAAAATGTTTCTACAGCTTTAGTAATATTATTTTATAAATAACATAATTAAATTATTAAATATTCAAATAATCAAAATAATCAAATATAAAATAAAAAAAATTAGTTATAATTATCAAAATAACCAAAATTTATTTAATTATATTATAAAACTGCTTTTATAACTTCAATGATATTATTTACTAAGAAAATCTAATAAAAATACATTTATAGTTTCAGAGATTATTTTTATTTAAAAAATTAATAAAAAATATTATTAAAGTTTCAGAAACATTTTTACTAAAAATCTAATAAAAATGCTTTGCAGTTTGAAAATGTTTTTACTAAGAAATAACTTATAAAATGTTTTAACAGCTTTAAAAATATTTTTACTAAGAAATATATTATAAAAATACTTCTGTAATTTATAAGTATTTTTATTTATAAAATAATCTAAAACTATAAAGATGATTATTACTAAGTTTTTTTAGTAAAACTAAAGTTATAGTGTTATTTTACTAAGTTTTTCATAGTAAAAAAATTACCTTTAAAACTGCATAAGATTTTTTATTAACTTACTTTATAAATTTACTTTAAAATTTTTTCATGTATATTACTAATAATTTTCATAATTAAAACTTTAAAATAACTTTATTTTAATATTTAATTATATAAATTAAAAATTTTTATATTTATTTTAATTTTATTTGATAAAATTTAATTTGATTTGATTTGATTTAATTCAATTCAATTTTAAGAAACTCTAGTAATAATAATAATAATAGAAATAATTTAGTAGCAGAAACTTTAATAGTAGTAATAACTTTAATGATATTAGTAAATATACCTTTCTAAATATTTTTAAGAATTTTAAATTTTAAGATAATTGATATTAAAATATTTGTTTATAATAAATATTTTACCTAAACTTCTAATTCCTAAACTTAATTAAGTTAAATCAAGTTTTAAATTTAAAAAAATAATTATTTTAAAGATTTTAAAAATGTTTTTAAATTTTGAAGCTATATTAAAATATATTTTAAATATTATCATTAGGCAATAACAGCTATAATATTAGTAAAAATAATAATATTAGTAATGTTTGTAATGATATTCTTTTCTATAATATTATAAAATAAATAAAAACAATAAATTAAATTTATATATTTTGTCTTTTATTATTTTAAAGCAAAAATAATACAATAATTCAAAGTTTCATTATAAAATTAATAAAATATTAATAATAATGAAAATATTGAAATAGAAAGAAAAGAAGAAGAATTATTATTTAAAAAATAACAAATTAAATAAAATAATAAAGATTTAATTAATTAATTAAAAATTCCTACTTTTTTTTATTTTTTTTATAGAAATTAATTATTATTATATCATTAATATTATTATAATATTCTTTCTTTCTTTATAAATATTATAATCTCATTGATATTATATATATTTTATTTAATTAATCAACTTATTATTCTAACTTGAATTTTTAATATTATCTTAACTGCTAAATAATAAAATACTTTATACTATATATCTTTTTATTACTTTTAATAGAAAACTTATACTTTAATTATACTTGAAATAATAAATTTCTTAATTAAGTATATATATAATACATAATTATAATAATTAATTACCATTTTTTAAAAATTAATCTTATAGTAAACTATTGATATAACAAATTTTAGGATCTGGATATCAACTTCTAATAATGAATTTTTTAAAGAATTTAATTGGCTAGTTCACTATAGTAAGATAATTTTAATATATTTGATTTAAAAATTCGCTATATCAAGGATTCGCTATATTAAGGTTTGACTATATATAATTAACTATGAATTATAAAATTAAAATAGATAATTTTCTTTTATAGAATATAAATTATATAAATTATATAAATATTTTTAATATATAGTATAAATATATAATAATAATTCTATAATATTAAAGAATACTATTTCTAGTTCAACATTACACAGAATTCCAGGTAATTAATTATAATAGAGATTAAAGTTTGGGTAAGATTTCTATTTTACTTGACAAGTGACTCAAATGATCAAATAATAAAAATAAGTGATATAAATTTAAAAGATTTAAATGGTATGCATAAATTATAGGAAATACTAATTTTAATAATACAACTTCTCTTAAAAAATAAAAAGCATTAAGAAGTGATTATTTGAGAGCTTTGCAGTAGAAAGGAAGGAAACTCTAAAAAAATTTTTTTTTGAGTTAATGAACTTATTTTACTAAAAAAATCATAATTGGCTTAGAAAATAAAATTTTAATTTTTTTAGAGTTTTCTTCCTTTCTACTGCAAAGCTCCTATTTAGTTAAAGAAAATTTTAAAGAAAATATTCTTTTAACTGAACAAAAAATTTAAAAACTTATTAAAAAGTTAGATGTTTTAATTGCTCATATATATTTTCAATAGTGTATGTATAATAATATATATTACATTTTATTATTTTTTTAATAAAATTTTATATAGTTTTACAATATTATTAATATTATTGATTCAAATATAATAAATCTTTAGTATCATTTAGAATATTATTATTAAATAAAAATGAAAATATTTTAATAAAGCAATGAACTTTTCAATAAATGAATTTAAAGAAATTAGAACTAGTTTGATTATTACAAACTATCATCTAAAAATTAAAACTAAATATAATTCAATTATAAAAAAACTAGTTTTAACTGATTAATCAGTTATATTTTATTTTAATGTATTATTTAACAAAGTAAAAGTGCATTACTTATTAATTTAAATTATAAACTCACTATGTGAATATAACTTAACCAATTATTAATAATTTTTATGCTTTATACTGATATGTTATTAATTATAATTTTGATTTAGAAAAAATAAGTATAAAAAGTCAATTTTCTGACACCAATAATTTTCAAATTAAACTTATCAAACTAATCTTAGGTAGGTAAAATTTTTATTTATGATAGTGATACAATAATATATTATAAAGGTATAGATAAATTTATTAAATAAAACTGGTTAATCACATACAATTAGTTATAATAAAACTGGATAATCAGTTTATTAAATTTTTAACCCAGTTATAAATTTAAACTGATTAAAATCAGTTATAAATCTGATTATAATAGCCAATTCAAACCTCTAAATAAGTTTAAATTGTTATAAAACTAATAAATACAGTTTGTACTAATTATTAAAAAAGTCAAAAAAAAGTAAAATGTAAATTTTGTATTATCTAAAAAGAGTAAACTGGTTTATTAACTATCAAATATTACATAAGTAATGAATCAATTACTAATAATAATGAATGAAATATTGAAATAATTATTATTTGTAATATATATTTAATTTTATATTTTAACAATGTAAACTAATATTAATATGTATTTATATTATATAATAAACAAGAATATATAGGGTAAAATTTACTTATATGCATTTAAAAATTGTAAAATATAGGCTAATAAA